GCTGCCTGCACGGCCGTATGATGACGGTTCATACCTATAGTACCACAATCTTTTTCAAATTATCTTTTTATATACAAATGTCAAACCTCCTTTCTTTGAGAACTTGAAGACAAAAATAAAAGTAAAGCTACTAGAATAAACGAAGCTRCTGAAAGGGACTGTGGTATTTGAGGTGCCTAACTTCATCATGGCAAAGGGTTTTGTACACTCAACTAAAATACTTACGACATGTACACATGTCAAAATACCTTCCATTTAGATAAGCAAACAGTTTTTTTGAAAACGGCGAATGTAGAAGGTGAAGGCAGTGCCATTTTATGTAAAAAATATGTTCCGTGAAAGAGTCCCAGTATAATGACATGKCTTTAAACTGTCTTCGCAGTAGGCGAGCGACRTTATGTTGACCAATGAGCAGCCCGTTGCTAAGAAAAGGTGCTTGGTCTTCCAGAAAAAGTAACTTGATCAACGTCACAATATAAAATTGGACTTCTTAGTGGCTGTTCAGTATCAAAGAAATATTTTCAAAGCTGACCATTCACCGAGCGGTCCGGCACTGAAGCTCTTCTAGCCAGGATCAAAATCTGAGCAGCACGATAGAAGGCTTAACAAGAAATCTCTGTGCATGGACTTTATTTACTTTTATTTATCTTCTAATACTATGTAGAAATTTAATTTTTTGGTAAAGAGAATGCGTGACATTGACCTTGCTGGTCGGTCCATTGGCTGGTATCTCTGCAGTTAACATATTTTTCATATTTTTTACTTTTGTTTAGTTTGACATTATTTATATTATATCATCTTTCACAATATTTGTCTACTGATTATTATCTATGATAATAAGAAGTTCTGCGCTTTTCTGCACTTTTCAGCTCTTTCAGCTCTTTCAGCTCTTTCAGCTCTTTCAGCTCTTTCAGCTCTTTCAGCTCTTTCCGTTTCAGCTTTTTACTGCGACCCTATTTCAACTTGTGTACAGAGTAACTTATTTTTATATACAGTAATTCAATTAAAACAAACAAACAGAAACTTGCAGCTTGCGTGACAAATTCACGCAAAACTTTTAGCAAAACTTTTAGGCCATACTTCGTTGTCTTTTTAGTATTTTTAAAAAAAATATATAATATTCATAGGAATGTCATTTACTTTCATTTTTTTCAATTTCTTCACCGGAAATTGTAGCAAAACGATTGCCGGCAGATGCCATTTTGTTGCCGACTCAATATTCCGAGATTCTGAGGTGAATATYGTACGATATTCACCTCCAATTAACCAATGTGCGCGCGCGTTCTTAGGAAGTACATAAGTTGGTATATGCTAAATACCAGTACTTTTATAACACCCTTTTTAACATTCCATGTGATTGGTAGGGATTGGACCATACAATGAAAATGTTACAATTTGGAGGTGCAGTTCTGGTGGATACTTTTTTGAGTCTGCAGTATTTAAAAATCGTCAGAGCAACACCAAATACAAAGACGAGCAAACATGTTTACCATGCAGTACTGAACAG